GGAATAAGGTTATTGTGGGTATGGAATGGTTGAGTCCTAATGGACCAGTGATCGACTGCGAGAGTAGCTAGTGAGAGTTCGGACTCCTATTGGGGGAGGGTTAGTGATTGAAGGCGAGAGGCCGCAAGGTGTACCGACTTTATGTTCAGCAGCGAGAGCGAGGCGCTACCTTCAGCAGGGTTGCGCATATTATGTCGCCTATGTTATGGATACCCAGGATAAGGGTAAGGAGACCGTAGATGATGTACCGATTGTGCGGGAGTACCCGGACGTGTTCCCAGAGGACCTTCCTGGGATACCTCCGGAGAGACAGGTAGAGTTCAGGATTGACCTGGTCCCTAGTGCGGCTCCGATAGCCAAGGCACCATATCGGTTGGCTCCTCTCGAGATGCAGGAGTTGTCTACGCAGATGCAGGAGCTGTTAGACAAGGGATTTATCAGGCCGAGCACTTAGCAATGGGGAGCCCTGATCCTGTTTGTGAAGAAGACGGTCGGGTCACATCAGATGTGCATAGACTACCGGGAGATGAATAAGGTAATAGTGATGAACCGTTATCCCCTCCCAATGATTGATGACTTGTTTGACCAGCTTCAAGTTGCATCTTGGTTCTCCAAGATTGATCTGCGATCGGGTTATCACCAAATGTGATTCAGGGATGACGACGTACCGAAGACAGCTTTTCGGACTCGCTATGGTCACTATGAGTTCGTGGTGATTCCGTTTGGGCTCACCAATGATCCTGCCGTATTCATGGACCTCATAAACCGCGTGTGCAGACCGATCATGGGCATGGGCATGTGTGCGGTGTTGATGCAGCGAGGCCAGATGATAGCATACGCTTCGAGGCAGCTGAAGCCTCACGAGGCTAACCATCTGACGCACGATTTGGAGCTGGGGGCTGTGGTTTTCACCCTCAAGATTTGGCGGCATTACCTCTATGGGGTTCGTTGTACCATTTACACAGACCACAAGAGTTTGAGATACCTCATGGATCAGCCGAATATAAACATGAGGCAGCGTCGGTGGTTAGATGTGGTGAAGGATTATGATTGTGAGATCCTTTATCACCCATGGAAGGATTACGACAGTCGTGGATTGTTGACCTTGCACCGGTGAGTCTGGGTTACTTATTATGGCGGGGTACGCCAGATTCTGATGGATGAGGCTCACAAGTCGAGATTCTCCATCCATCCCGGGGCGACGAAGATGTATCGGGAGCTTCACCCTGATTATTGGTGGCTCTGCATGAAGCGGGACATAGCATGGTACGTAGAATGGTGCTTGATTTGCAGTAAAGTCAAGGCTAAACACCATCGACCTCATGGAAAGATGCAGCTGTTGGAGATTCCCATGTGGAAATGGGAAGATATCACTATGGATTTCATCACGAAGCTTCCCAGGACCGCACGTGGAGCGGATTCGATATGGGTCATCGTGGATCGATTGACAAAGAGTGCTCATTTCATCCCAATCTAGGAGAGTATATGGGCTTAGAAGCTAGCCGAGATCTACGTTCGAGAGGTGGTGGCACGTCATGGAGTGCTAGTTTCGGTAGTGTTGGACCAAGACGTTAATTTTACTTCCAGATTTTGAAAGTGGTTTCACGATGAGATGGGTGCTCACCTCCAGTTCAGCACCGCTTTCCACCCTCATACGGATGGGAAGAGCGAGAGGATGATTCAGACTCTCGAGGACATGCTGCATGCATGTTTTTTGCATTTCGGTGGTAGTTGGGATACGTATCTTCCGTTAGCGGAATTTTCGTATACCAACATTTACCACGCCAGCATAGACCGACCACCCTTCGAGATGCTCTACGGGAGGAAGTGTAGGACCCTAATTTGTTGGGGCGAGGTCGGACAGAGGGTCATGGGGAGTACCGAGGTGCTACTCAAGACTACAGAGAGGATCCAGCAGGTCCGGAGCAGGCTCCAGACTGCTCAGAGTCCGCAGAAAAGCTATACTGACAAGCGCCGTTCAGACTTGCAGTTTCAGGTGGGCAACATGGTCCTTCTGAAGGTGTCACCTTTGAAAGGTGTCATCCGGTTCAGGAAGCGGGGCAAGTTGGGCCCTAGATACATCGGTCCGTTCAGGGTTTTGGCTAGCGTGGGCCGGGTTGCTTACTGTTTGGATCTTCCATCAGATCTCAGCCAGATCCACAGCACTTTCCATGTTTCTCAGTTGCGAAAGTGCTGAGTGGATGACTCCGCAGTTGTGCCTCTAGAAGATATACAGGTTGATGACAGCCTGAACTACATAGAGAGACCAGTAGCTATTCTCGACAAGAAGACGAAGGAGCTGAGGAACAAGAGGGTTGAGCTGGTGAAGGTGCAGTGGCAGCACCGCAAGGGCTCGGAGTGGACCTGGGAACCCGAGGAGGAGATGAGGGAGCAATACCCGGAGTTATTTCTAGATGCAGCGGACTTCGAGGACGAACTCTGATTCAAGTGTGGGAGAATTGTAACATCCGTCACTTGAGGTATTCTTTATTTTAAATATTTATTATTTGTTGTTGGGCTATGAATTGGATAAGTGGATTATTGAGTTGGACTTTGGCAAGTGGGCCGTGTAGTTGGGCTGCCCAGAAGACGTATGCTGGGCGTAAGCTTGGCGTACGCATGGGCGTAGAGGAGCTTTGGATTTGGGAGGCGCATGCACGTACGTGCAGCATACGTGAGCAGATTTCAAACCCTAATTTTTAGGGTTTAAGCCATATACATAGAACATTATGACTCAAATCCTAGCCTTCTTACCAGCCTCTCAACCTTAGAAACCCTAGATACCCTCTCTTACTCCATTCTTCTGTGTGTTTGGCCTTTTGAAGCTTTTTTGGGTGATTTGGAGCTTGGAAGAAGAGAAGAGAAATTGGAGAAGAAGAACTTGAGTATCTTGACCTCAAGGATATGAGATTACCTCACCATTTGGCACTCACTGGAGGTATAAAGCTTTCAAATTTCCTCATGTATGCTTAGATCAAGTGTAGAGATGTTTTGGGATCTTTTTAGTCCCAAGAATGGATCTTTATGACTCCAACTCGTTTCTAGGTCTAGGGTTGCCACCCTTAGTGACATATGAGTCCCATAAGAAGTAAAGTTTCAATCTTTAAGGTCCATTTTTGACCATGCATGAGATCTATCCATTTCCATGGAAGTTAGTTGCTATATTCCAAGTTTGGGTTCATTTGGTGGGTTACAAGCCACTAAGTAGTCAACTTTATGAGTTAAGACACGTTAAGGGACTCAGATCTGTAATATGGGCTTAAGGTAATAGAATAAGCATTTTTGAATTTGATGGCTTAACAGGGTAGTACGTTGGGCGTACAAGCCAGTACGCGTAGCATACAAGCCATGCCGCAGTACGCTTAGCGTACAGAGGAGTACGCCGATCGTACTCTCAGGATTTTGGCTTTGCGACGTTTGGGCCTCGGTTTTGGCCAATCTTTGGACTTAGTAGTTATTAGGCCTTAATGGGCCATCAGAAGTCAGATAATGGACTAATGACTTGTTTGGGCTTAAGGTAAGGCCCATTTGAGGAGTTGGGCCCAATTTAGAAAATTGGGCCATTAGTGGGCCTTTAGTGGGCCATTAGTGGGCTTGGAAAGATTAAATGGAATTGGACCTTGGATATTGTCCAATTTGGACCAGGGGGTAAAATGGTCATTTTACTCTAAGAAGAATTATGGATTTTGACTAAGCGTTGTTATGATAATGATAGCCGGGGAGTCGTTGGAGCAGCCACTAGAGATTTCCTCATTGTGAGCTTCAGCAGTCAGCTTTGCGAGGTGAGTTTCCTCTAGTAGGAACGGGTCTATGACACCAAGGCCGGCCCGTATATGTAATCTTATTAGTAGTCGAGTGTGGGTGAGGCCCGTATCTCGTAGATAGCCGGTATAGTATGGATTGACATTCTGATTAGTAGTCAAGTGTGGGCGAGGCCCGTATCTCATAGATAGCTGATATGGTATGGATGGATATGCTTAGTTATACTTGTTGTTTGTGTGATACATGTATGTGTTCATGATTAGCTGAGTGTGGGCGAGGCCCGTATCTCATAGTAGCTGAGTGTGGGCGAGGCTCGTATCTCATAGCAGTTGAGTGTGGGTGAGGCCCGTATCTTAGAGATAGCAGAGTGTGGGCGAGGCCCGTATCTCCTAGTTAGATGAGGGTGGACGGGGCCCGTATCTCATCGAGTGTGGGCGGGGCCCATATCTCCTAGTCGCATGTTATGTATGGTATGTGGTAATTTGCGGAGCTCACTAAGCTTCGTGCTTATAGTTTTTAGTTTTTGTTTCAGGTACTTCCGGTAGCAAGGGGAAGAGCTCGGGATGATTGTAGTGCACACACCATTTGTTTTAGCCTTGGATGTTTTTACTCTGATATTTGGATATGAGTTTTGATGAGATACTATGATTTGATACTACGAATTGTGTTTTCGGATGGAATGCTTTTGATAACTATGGTTTATTTAATAACTAAAAACGAAATTTTTGGAATGTTTCATCCTACATCCCGAAAACGTCCCCACCTTCATTCCGCCATTACAGTGCAGTTAACAGCACAAGTCACGTTCCTCCATCCCATATCCCACTTCCTATATAACAACCTTAACCCAAAACTATAGCAACCAACATCTCCCATGGACTACATACAACCACCCAATATCACACTCATTTTCCCTTATTTAACATGGATTCTAATTTTGTGAATGGAGTTTACTGGATTTGTGATACACTTTTATTTACTCCTGAAATCCATGATGGAGAATAAATCAATTAAGCGGAACAATAACCAAGAAGAACTCTAAACCAAGGTAAGTTCTTGAATCATTTTATTTTGCATACCGATACCTCTTAATGTGATGGATTAAACTAGAAAATGGACCTAAGAAAATAGAGTTTATGTCGTTTTATCAAAATGAACCAAAGGTAATTAGTGACACTTTCGATTATAATATCTCACATCTTCTAGTTATAATACTTCTTTTTTGTTTAATCATATGTTTATGATGGGGCCCGTTTGCTCCACTCCTGAGTCTCTTCCCTTTTGCGTATGGCATCGCCACTCCCTTTGGCAGCATCCACTAATTCGGAACTTAATTTGAAAGCCATATTTCGACCCGGACGTTTTCGGGATGCCGCTAATAACCAACGAATGGCAAGTGCTTTTCCTTGTGTGGATCCTATTTCAATGGGAACTTGGTGAGTCGATCCACCTACACGTCTTGCTTTTACTGCTATACCCGGAGTTACTCCATGTATTGCTTGACGTAAAACAGATAGTGGATTTGTTTCTGTCTTTTGTTGAATCTTTTTCACGGCTCGATAGATAATTTGATAAGTCAATGATTTTTTTCCGTGTTTCAGAATACGGTTAACCAACATGTTAACTAATCGATTACGATAAATTGGATCGGATTTTGCAGTTTTTTCTTCTGCAGTACCTCGACGTGACATGAGCGTGAAAGGGGTTCAAGAATCAGTTTTCTTTTTATAAGGGCTAAAATCACTTATTTTTGCTTTTTTACCCCATATTGTAGGGTGGATCTCGAAAGATATGAAAGATCTCCCTCCAAGCCGTACATACGACTTTCATCGAATACGGCTTTCCGCAGAATTCTATATGTATCTAATTCTTCCAACCAACCCAATATTGATGTGACTTTTTCTAGAAACATACATCTAAAGGTGAAATCTTATTAACTAGTAGGGTTTCCCCACGTTGCGGGGGTTGAAAGATGTCGATCAGCAGCGTTTTTGTTCAATAAATAAGCCTGTAAACAGCACAAAATTGTGTTAAATGCAAATAGCAACATGCTTCTATTTCTTCATAAATAGAAAAAAAAGTCTAAACTAAAAGTACATTGCAATTTAGTGTATTTACCATCTAAATATGGAAAAATGCAACAAATAGTAATGTAATTTGTGTGTTGTTAAAAAATTAAATAAATTGCAAAGAACAAAAAAGAAAAATGTTTAACTTCAAAGGACATTTCTATTTACTGCATTTACAACCTAAAGATGGGAAATTCACCTAATGACAATCAAACCAATTTACAAAAAACAGGAAAAAAATGTTTAAATTCAAAGTACATTGCTATTTACAACATTTACCACCTAAATATGGAAAAATGTAACAAATAGCAATATATTTTGGTTTTTGGTAAAAAAAATGAAAACAAATTGAAAAAAAGGTGTAAAATCAAAGTACATTGCTATTTAGTGCAGGTACTGTAACATCCCAAAAATCACAATAAATTTTAACTTTTCAAAAACAACCCAAAACCATAAATGTTTACAAAACCATTATTTCAAAAGTGTATTCCAGTAATCAGAGTGTCTCTAAATCCAATATCATAAAAACCAGAAGGATGTGCAGGATCACACCTTCACATTGTCGTGATCATCTGAAGTACCTGAAACAATAAACTGAAACTGTAAGCAAGAAGCCTAGTGAGTTACCCCAAAGTACCACCACACAAACAGATAACATATACAATCATAAATGTTGGGTCCACAACCTCCCGGCTGGATTACCCTGGCTCACAACCTCCCAGTTGGATTACCCTGGCCCACAACCTCCCGGTTGGATTGCCCTGGCCCACAACCTCCCAATTGGATTTCCCTACATATCGCATACTGAGTCCACAACCTCCCAGTTGGATTACCCTGGCTTACACCCTCCCTGTTGGATTGCCATATGTATCGCATATTGGGTCCATAACCTCCCGGTTGGATTACCCTGGCCCACAACCTCGCGGTTGGATTGCCATACATATCGCATAATGGGTCCACAATCTCCCAGTTGGATTACCCTCGGTTTGTTGACTGGCAGCACAAAGCAGTACTATCTCAACCCAATTACACTATGTCCACATGCATCAAATAAACATATAACCAGTCAACAGACAAACAGGCATATCTATAGATCACTACCACATACCAACATACTATATACCAAGATACAGATCTAACATATCACTATAGCATAACAACATCTTATATACCAGGATACATAACCAAGCGGGTCAGTATTGGTGCCTTCAACCTACAATACAGTGAGGAAAACTCACCCGAAGCAGTAGCACCACAACCGTTGCTAAGATAGATTTCTGCCTCATTAAATACCTATATTCATATCAATAACCTCTATTTAAATCATTTATAAATAATACTTATAAAATACTTAATTTTTGTTATTTCTAAAATAAAACTTATTAATAACCAAGAACCATATCGTACTAACCATAAGCATATTTAAATCCCTTTATACATAAATATATCAATTAAGAAAAACCTTTTATAGAATAACACTCCTTCCAATGCAATACATAAACGTAGCCAAAAGACTTTGTGTACCTTCGTGTTCTTGATGACATTCTTCCTTCTTTTAATTCAATGCACCAACTTAATCTCTCTCCCTCCCGACTTTTCCATTCGTAGCTACAGCTAGCAGAAGGGGTCCTTCCCAATTGAAAAAAATATACATATCTACTTGATTAATAACCATATAAAAATCAGTAATACTTCTGATTCCATGGTCATCATTTCTAGTTATTGCACACACATAATCACCATACTTCTTCCTTGAATCCCCGATGGAATGCATCACAACTCCTAGGTTTTATTCAGAACTCGAATCCATTACATGGTAAGTCACCGAATCTATGGAGGTTCACCAGAAAACATATCCGGACTAAACAGCCTCACCGGAGAACCTCTAAGCTTCTTGAGAACCGACAGAGTCTTTAGTTGATTCGCTAGATCTATAAGCCACATGATCATGATGGAATCACCATATGAACCATAAGGGAGTGAAGCTCAAACTAACGGGAAGAGACTCTCAATGGAAAAACACATGGTCCGTCAGAACACCCACTTCTACCGAAAAAAGTTACACTGACTTCGACCTCATAGCCTTACCGGAAAACACCCACCACCGACGACTCCTATAACTCTCTTCTTCCCCGATCTCTTACTTGCAGCACAACATCTAGAAAATGCTCCAACCCTAATGTCTATATATATATATATATATATATATATATATATATATACATACATATATATGTATATATATATATATATATATAATGGATAATATTAGATCGAATCATTCAACTTTTGGTGGTGGATCAAAGTTTCTAATCGTTTTGGGTAAAGAGGTGTACACCCCACGTTAAAAAGAAATTTACAGCAGTGATAAATATCCTCCTACTTTTGTTCCTACAAATCATCCTACCCAATTAAATGATGACATGTGTCATATTAGTATATTAAAATATCATTAAATGAGTATTAAATGTTACACATGTCACTATTTAATTGGGTAGGAGGATTTGTAGGAACAAAAAGTAGGATGATATTTAATTTCTCTTTGTTAATTGATACCCAAAGTACAACAATGGCCCCTCCATATTCCTCCCTTGCACACATAATGTCCCTTTAATTTTTCATAAATGTTTATATGACCCTTTCGACCAAAATCTTGACATTAAAAGTTTCTAAAACATCCCTAATTAGTCACTCATGAACCTTTCTTTACTTGTGAGGTCATGTAAACATACTATTATTATTACTATTGTTAGTCTACTAAATCATATCTTTTGATTTATTTATTTAATGAACTATTAAATGGAAATCATTATTATAATTATATTTTTCATTAATTAAAATGAAATAATCCATATTCCTATATTTTTACTAATTCTACTATTTATATCCCTCTTTTAAGTGATTAACGGAAAATTGGGCATTACAATTCTCCCCCACTTATAATAATTTTGTCCTCGAAATTAAGGGTCTTGACTTAGCTGTCAGAAACAACCCCTACACAATTCCTTATGACATATCCAAGCCACACATTAAACTGATGCATCTACAAAAGGATTTCGGAGACCTATCGGAACATAGACATCGTTTGTATCAAACACAACCTAATCATCTGAAATTACTCAAACTGCAATAATTACCTCTCTTACCACTAACGACCAGATCAATAGTCTAGCAGCACTACTCATAACCTAGAACTCCAATACAACAATCACAACTAAGTCCATCGATAAACCTCACTAGCCCGGAAACCCATCAGTCTGAAGTCTTTAAGACCGATGACTACTGTATGGTATACACACCTCAGGCACTTTATCTTGGAATATTGTCAACCTACTACGAAGCGAGGAACCCGAACATCCTGTCCATAACCACTCATCTAATATCTAGTCTAAAATAATACTAAAAACGGGCTCAACTGCACACTCGACCTCCCGAAAACTCATCACTAACCAACTGCTCCCACGAGCACAATAATGGTTAATCCAAAAGAAGATCTTGTGTGGCATCCACACCCTCACACGCCCAGGTGCACAATCATCTAACAAATCATCCAAGTGTCCTAAAACGAACTACACCACTAGCAACCCCATTAACTTGAAACTGTTCACAGAACAATGATCAAGGATCCACTAAGAAGAAACTCCATGAGGAATTGCTGATAAGAAACCATGACTTTTCCAACAAGTCAAAATCCTACAAATGCTTGACCAGCCTGCAGGTCACTAAGCCACCAATGACAACACCACACTACTGAAACACCTGACTACACCAAACGACTAACAGACAAACGCACGGGTCTCCACTACACAACTGTCGGGTCCAACTCACATAAGTGTAATCCACGACAGTTCACGATACGCCGTAACACTATCCAACCATTGTAATGAGAAGCTCATGGTTCCACACCGTTCTCACCATCATCCAACCACGGGCATGAAGACTCATGAATAGCACCTAGTGAGCCTATAGGTACACAACCATCATCCCATCTGCATGCAGGAACCCAATTAATATCTCACTCAACACTTACCTAAAAACAACACGATGCATATAATTTTGTAACACACAAGCCGTCAATAATCCATGCTACCACTGATACGTCATCAGACGAAACCATGGTCGTACGCAACCAAAACATAAGATAGATAGTTGAAATGTCAACATTTTACACTCCCCCAGGAGAAAACACATCGCTCCTCAGGTCGAATGTGTTCCTTCTTATCATAACCTTACCCAAAGGGTGAAGTACCAGTGGATCAAACGAAGTGACGAACCTCAACCTCTAACAGAAACATTCTCCTAATAACCAAAACAATATCCATCACCATAAATGAAGCAAAACAGATACCATCAATTCACAATTAAGCCTGCAAAACCCCCACTTTTGGAGAAGAATTACAAAATTATCCCCAAAAAAAATGTTCCCAAAACCCTGATCCAATCGACCCAAATACCAACCCAACCGACGCAACCTGCCGAAAATGAACTCTGCTAGGCACAATTATACCTGAAAATTTGAAAAACGTAGCTCTGACATCCGAACTCCCAATACCCAAGGACATCTTCCAAACTGAAGCCAAAACTGACGATATGTCGACGCATCCATTGAACTTCAACTGATA